CATTCAGCGTAGTTTACCCTTTTCGTATTGGGTGGTGACTGAAATTGAAAGCTGGGAATCTTTTCTCATGTCCCCACTGCAAGTGAGAGCTTGATGGGTTAACCACTTATCATCATATTAAAATTTCAACTTTTCATATACTATTTCCCCCCCTTTGGGTCCAGTTTCCTATTTCTTTTAATATGGGTTTTTTTATTTTTAATGTCACACTTGATTAAATTAGAAGAAAAAATGAAGTGGAAACCAAAGGAATTAGGTGTGGGTTCAATTCCTCATCTGCAATTCAGTAGTTATGTTTTCAGCAAACAACCAAATTATTGCATCACAGACTATTTAGCCATTTTAGCTGTATTGACAAGATTCCATTTCCAAATTTGGGTCCATTATGTATGATTTTTTAATTTGAGTTTTATTAATTACAATCATATTTGTGTGTTATATTGATTATATGCTGCAAATTACAATTTAAATTTTTTGTGCTTTTTACTGAGGTCTATATTTGTAGAAATAATTTTACAGGCATATTGAAAAAAAATATTTTAGGATATATGAATTGAGTTGTTAAAATGTTTTGATACAAAAGATTTGTACTCACAAAAGTAAACAAAATTGAATCACATTAAAAACTGTCTCTTGAGTATGATTTATTTCATGTTGATCTATTTTTGTATATGTGAGTTCTTAATAAATAATATAAAATTCAGCAATTAATGGTAGTGGCCATTTTAATAGAATGGAATTACAGAAGTGGATGGTAGGCTACCAATTGTAAAGATGAGGAGGATGCATACATTTTCTACTCCACTTTTCAGACTTAAAAGAAGACCAGTAATAGCTAGCTAGTGGCAGCCTCGGACCTCGGCTTCCAGTATTCAGGTTTGATTTTCCATGATAATCCAACCATCTCAGAATCTTCAAAAGCTGCTGACCTTTTTTTAATTATTTAATTTAATTTCCTCAAGTATGTGGCCATTTACATTTCCCACTTTGAACTACCTTTATTTGTCCCCCCTTTTTTAGGTTTTTCTACCTAAATATCTAATATTCTCGTTTTAACACCCTCTTTCTAATATTTTTCAAAATAGCACCCATTCGGCTGATGTGGGGAGAAGACACGTTTCTGAGGAACGCCTTCGCGGGATTTACTGATGTGGAGGAAAGGCGCGTTTCAGAGGGAGCACCTTCCAGTTGGTGTGGCGCCACGGTGGAAAGAGTGTTTCAGGGGCGCCTTCCGAAAGCTCTTTTGGGGGAATTCGATTTTCACTCGGTTTTGAATTAGGGTTTAACATTGAAGGTGATAGTGGTTTAGGGTTATTAGAATTTGATTTTATTAGGTAAAAGGTTTTGGTTATGATTTAAGAATGGTCGAAAGTATTTTTTAATTTTTTATTTAGGTTGGAGTGATTTTAGGTTAAAGTGGTATAGGATTCGTTAAGGTGAAAGTGGTGAAAGATTTTGTAGGTTAAAGTGGTTTAGGATTTTTAAGGTGAGAGTGGTCAAGGGTTGTGTAGATTAAAGTGGTTTAGGGTAAGGTTCGATTAAAATGAAAATGTTAATCACATGAAGTAAGAGGTAAGTGAGAAATTTATGTAGAAAATACACATATATTGGGAAATTAGAAAATGCAATTACATTGAAATATTAGAAACAAAGACATACATTGAAATAGAAAATGCAATTACATAAGTAAGGGTTAACGGTTAAGTGATGATAAAAGAGTTGGACATTTTTTTCCTATTGTGGTCGATGTTTATATAGGGGTTAAGGGGGTTTATATAGGGGAGGAGGAGGGGGTTTAGGTGGGAAAATGGGTGGGAATTAATTGCCCTATTAATGGAAGGCACCCCGGAAACTCGCCTTCCGACGTGGCACCAGAATCTCGCGAAGGCGCCCACCTGCAAAGCGCCTTCTCCTGCGTGGTAGCCCAGTCAGCAGAAACCCATGGAAGGCACGTCCCCTGAAACGCGCCTTCTGCCTTGTCAATAAAAATCCTGTTAAAGCGCGCTCCCGGGAACACTCCTTCCTTCCACATCAGCCGAATGTGTGCTAGTTTAGAAATATTGGAAAATAGTGTTACATCGGGAATATTATAATAATAGGGTGATATTTAGGTAGAAAAGCCTTTTTTTTACTCATCAAACATTATCCTTCCTTCTTTCTTCTTCCCTTAGTGGGATCCTACTAACATAAAATTTTATGCGAGTCCCTGCCAAGAACACTAGCCAATAAAATATAAAATTAAAGCTTTTACAGCACATAAAACAATTTAACTTGTAGAAACATAGGCCTCTCCAAAGGAATGTAAATACTCAATCCAGCATATTGATCTTCAGACCTATTTCAAGAAGAAATAGAGAAAAAAAATGTGGGTGTTTCTTGATTGCAGAACAAAGAATCACACATAAACTGACCAAGGGACTCATGCAACACAACAAGTTCCTTCCAGTGCAGATTCATCAGCAATTCCTCATTAACTTCCCAGTTGTTATCATATGAAAAACTTTATCATGGTACTTTTGAGTACATGAATACATTGTTTATAAAAATATCAATCATCAAATGATTATAATTACATATTTTTAATTCGTTTATTAAAATAAGATATTATCATTTTTGTTATTTTTGAGACCTTTACATCTTTTCCTGTTTCTAGCATGTTGTCTTTAAAATCTCACAATTTACAAATTCCGCAATCACCGTGTTTAAAGAAATTATGTTTATGTAGGAATTTAAATTGTTATCGCGATTGTAAATATAACAGAGATTATTATTATCATTATAGGTATTGTTATCATATAATAATGATTTTGGATGATACCATTACTCTTATGTAATTGCTACTATTCTGATATTTAAATGCGGAGTACTAAGCAGTAACAGCTGTAGGCTATGTGTAACTCCTTGCATTTCGTATGCGGAGTCTTGTCGGAATCGATCACTGAATGCACTACAACGAGCAAAGCCGATGGTATGTGCACCTGTGAAGCCAAAATATTAACCCGTTAAAGCCTGCATTTATGAATTGAAGAGCTTTATCATTTCATCCATGGTGAAGCTTGTATCTACGATATTGGGCCTGCATTTGCAGAGTTTGATATTCTTCCATCTCTTCTACCAGTTGGAATCTGAAATGCCGGTCCACCAGCCTGTTACAGACTTACAGGATCACTATGGTTAATCTAATCCCACAACTAAAGATGATTGCAGATATGGTAAGAAAATGAAAACGAGGACGGGAAGGTTTTACAATTGCCTGCATCTCTTGCAGCCAAAGCAATAATATCAGCACAAGAAACAGTTCCAGCACAAGAAACGAGGATCATTGGCCGAAGCTGATCTTACTGTGTTGCTCACCATCAACTCCGCAGCAGGGCATGATGTTGCATAGAAGTTCAAAGACAGGCGACCGAGTAACGGAAAGGGAGCAAAAGAGAAAAAAACAAGGATGAGAAGATTGCAGAGATTAGGTGTCAGTGAAAACACGGAAATTTTCGACTCCCAAAGCTGGTCATGCCCTGTGAATTATGATATATTTAAAGTTGCATTAATGGGTTAAGCTTCTTCTGTCAGAGGGTAGATGGGTTAAGTCATGCATTTAGTTGCGCTTGGCCAAGCTTCTTCACACGAAACATTTAAAGATCATTCAACATCTAACAAGAACTACACTCTTCATTAATTCATGGTACCAACTAGTTTCAATATTATCATAGAAAATTAGAATAACTTACAATGGGATTATTTGTTTGTTTGTTTTTAAATAAGAAAAAAAGTTTAATACACAAATAAGTATATAAACTTTACCTCGAAAAACGATTTGGTACCTAAAAATTAATGTCTAACATTTTCTCAGTTACACTTTTTAAGTAGAGGAGCATAGGAACCAAACCTAACAGGTTCCGACCCGATCGGATTTTTTTTTTAAAATTCGGAGTCGGATCGAATTCGAGTTTATGGTGAAAATACCCGACCCGACCCGAAAAAAATTATCTTATATATTTAGAAATAATTATAATAATACCCTCTCTATATATATTTTTTCAATTAAATCATTATTTTTATTGAATAAAAAATATTTTTTATTATTTCGGATTGGATCGGGTGGAAGATATATATTTTTTGGGTCAGGTCGGGTGAAAGATGTACAATTTTCGGGTCGGGTCGGCTTGGTCGAAACCCGACCCGTCTCATCTCTACTTTTAAGTGTCCACCGTTATATTTTCTATTTTTTTAATAATAAAAAATATTGTTTTAATAAAAAAAATATTGTTTTTAATAAAAAAAAAACAAAAAACAAAACCTTAATTTATTTACAAAAGAACCCAAACTTTTAATAAAATTAAAAAAACAACTAAAAAAAACTAAAAATCTCATTTTAACTATGTTACCATGGTAGATAGCCGAAAGAACACCGACAGAGCGACGACGTGGATAGGTTTTGAACAGAACAAGATGATGGGTCGAATGGTGATGATGGTGTGACATATAAACGTCAAAATCGACCGAAATCGACGAAAAACAACAACATTGCTTAAAATTCGACGAACCTTCAAACGTTTCTTCATGACAAACAATGACAATTTACGAAGAAATATCAACGGAAGTTTATCAAAAGTCAACATCAATCCTAACAACAATAACGGTGACGATCATGGCCGACCGTCGACAACCATGGAAGGGAGAAAGGTGTACTTGAGAAAGGTGGGAGAAGAAAGGTGCGTGATGTGTTGTGGGGGGCCCTTGGCACACGGGGTTCACTGTTTTTTTAATAAAAAATATTTTTATTTTTTTAATTTTAAAACAAGTTCTCAAAATTACCAAAACTTAACTAGTGTCACTTGATCGATACACCTAAAAGTGCTCAAATGAAAATCTTAGATATCTAATTTTAATGAAAAATTCTTTAAACATTAAAACGTTTTTCGAGACAAAATTCAGACACTTAATTTTATATTAAGACATAATTTTAGACTTTTATGTTAATTCATTCTCTAGTCACAAAATAAAATAAACCCATGTTCGTAATCAATACAGTTACATGTTTCATAAAATTTAAGATAAAAAAAATCTGAAAGTGTTCTCCATCTTCAAAAGAAAAAAGTCCCACTAGCCTTTCTTATGTCCTCTCATCACCTCCAGAAATTGATCACAGAACCAAATATGAACAAACATGTCATTATAGTGGAATGCCTCCACCCGAATACTCTACCTCCTGAAATTTTTATCAATTTAAAGCAAGATTTAGTGAAAAGGTTCCATATAACACCATCTATAGCAAAAAGACGGGCTTATCTGCTAAATCCAGAGGCATCACATGTTCCATGATCAGATGAAAATTTTCATTATTCCATAGGAAAAAGAACTCAACTGAAACTTTAAATCAAGGGAAAAGGAAAAACTGATCAACCTGAGCGGGGGGTAAGGATGACACCCAATCCGATGCATGTGTTGGAAGAAGCCCCAAAGTGTTAAGCTGTCAAAACAAAAATATAATCAAGCAAACAAAATGCACAATGATAGATAACTTAGGTTTTGTTCCCTTTCTTTCTGTTCAATAATCTTCAAAGGGGAACATCGTTAGGAACTTTAAGAAAAAGGAAATTGCACCTCACCTTCCAAACACCAAGTGCTAAACCACCCAAATTAAGTGCAATGAAAAGCAACTTAGGCCCAAGAAGTTCTACTTTACCGTCTTTATAAGGCTCAAAAACTGCAAAAGCAAAATCAAAGTGAAGTTCGGATGAATCAATATAGAAATGGAAATTGCAGACCATAACATCCCAAGCAATAGGTGGCATTTTGGCACAACCGTAACATTTTTAGATCGTCTTTCATATGCATCTTAAACACCTTTCAAGAAGAAAATTGGCTATTGAGCCTAGACAGAAAGGAAGAGATGCAAATCATATATGAACTATGGAGCAAAAACAATGAAGCTCTATAGAAGAATACTAGATAGGTTTCTTTTGGATGCTTAAGTGGCATTCATTAGGACCACATACAATTATTAATGGGTTAATTATTTCATTATTGGTTAGGGCATCTTTTATTCTTACCCACCTTATTCTTTTCTCTTTCGACAATCGAACCACTCAAAACTAAATAGAGCAAATCACGCAGCACAAAGAACACAGGGAACGAAAACAGTAAGGTAACAATACAGGATAAGAGAAAAATTAGTAGTAAGAGGCCACATACCCTTCCCAACACCTTGAAGAGCACTAATAGGCTGCCAAAGTGCAGAAAAAGTGATACCAATGCTAAAGAGGTGCACTGTATTTCCAGCCATCCACATCATGAAGCCCATCATTAGCAAATTCTTGAATGGTGCTTGTGCCACTTCCCAAGCTTTCTGTTCAACATAAAAGAAATATCATCTTAAACAACATATTTTGATCGGCTACATCTTATACTAACATATCTGGTCTTACTCTTACCTATGAAACTAACCGCAAAAACTGAACTCTTACCTAAAGGAACTCCTAAACCAGCTAAAAGGTTAAGTGTTGTATGTGCATCAGACGATCACTAGACCTAAACCAAATACAAACCCTCAATCATGCACGAAGAGAAGAAGATAGCATTGGCTATAAATATTGTAAACAGGGGACCGGTAATGCAGAAACAGTTATCATATATGAGGCAATCACATCTACCAACAAAGCCCCTACGTATAACTAGAAAAAACCCAGATGCTGAAACTCAATATGAATTTATTAGCCTAAACATCCATTACGGTTGTTCACGATTTGCAATGGAAATTTCTCACTTAAATCCATTGTTTTCATCTACGTTCATAGTTAAATCACAACAAATTTGAAAACTTCAAGTCTTTAGGATCCAAAAGAAAATCAGTTTCAATCGTTAGTTAAGCATCTCCTTACTTTTCTCGTATCGGGAAAATTAAAACAGAAGGCATGATTTAAAAAAAAAAAAAACATACCTGAGCTTTCCAATTGGATTCAGCATCCTTCTTTTGGCGACTCACAGTCGAATCGTCCTGCCAAAATACAAAGTTAAACCTAATAAAAACTGAAAGTTAATGCATTTATTTAAGAAATTAAACCCAAAAAAAAAGGAAGGAAGGGAAACCTGATCCACAGAGGCACGAGTGAAGCCGGGGGGATCGCGGATGTCACGGGACGAAAGAGCGGTGGAATTATCGGAGAAATCAACAGCCCATCTTCGGCCGGACCCCATAACTCCTTTCCCTTTCTCCATCTTTCTTTATTCTTTTCTTTTTATTTTCTGTTGTTGTTTCTGGGTTTCGTATTTGCCTTTGGCTGCTACGCCGATTTGATTTCGGACTTTGTTTTTAATTAGTTGTCTACTTCATTCCAAATTGTTTAAATTAAGGGTTTAACTCCCTAGTCATCCACAAATCCTAATATTATTCTCAAACTTCAATTTCTAATCGAATCCTCAAGTAGTTAATATTATTTCAACCAGATCCTTCTTTTAGTCCAGCCACTAATTTTAGAATTAAACGACAGTTTAAATCTGACATTGAATATATTTAAAATGTGTAAATTAAATTTTAATTATTATGCGGCCTATTATTCTAATAATTTAGATATATGAAAAATAAATTTGATAAACAAACTCATTAAAAGAGACGCGGTAATTGATGATAGATGCTTCGTGTTTAGAAGTGGCGATGAATCTAGAAATCACTTATTTTCTAATGCTATTTTATTTGGAATGAAATTATCTAGGTTTGCAATCACTTATTTAGAAAATTTTCATCTTTGTTTCATTATGGTTTGAATCCAAAACTGAATCAGAGAAATCTTTTAACGGAGTTGATTAAAGTGATAAGCAATTTGATATTGTTTGAGTAAGTTTTGAGTTCGAATTCTTCTATATGCAAAAAATATTCATTGGGACACTCACTCACCTAAATTAAATGTGTGACCCAGATCAGTTCGGATTAATCAAAACAAAACATTGTAAAACCGGGGGAAGGGAGATAAACCTTATTTCACTAATTTTGAAGCCTACTTGGTTTGCTATGGTCTACCCTATCTGGCAAGAAAGGAGCTAAACACATTTTTACATCTCAAGTATCAAGCAGGATGCAAATTTGGGAAGAGTATACTGAAATTTTCCAGTACAAAGATCAACAGATTAGATGCTATTAACATTCATTTCTGTGCTGTTTGCGGCATCAGTGTATATGAGTATACTCTATAGGTCTTGCCTACACTGTTTGTAATAATTGTAACAGTTTTGGGTAGATTTAGGGGAATATTGTGATTTAAAAAAAATACAATAGAATTATGTTAATTGGAAATTATATATTTAAGAAATTAAGATGATAATTACAATAGAATAGCGAGGAGTTATCAGTGGGATTGGTTTAAGTGGTAAACAACTTAATATCACTTAAGTAATGTCTCATGTTATTGTTCGACCACAAAACATCTAGAAGGAAAAAAATAATTAAGAGGTGTTTAGGTTGAATTATTTGATATCTTTCATCCTCGTTACTCATCATCTATTTTGGGATTACTAGGATTAATTTGTTTGTGTATATATATATAACATGTAAACATAAAATTACAAGATGAAGTATATAAATGGTCCCTTGACTATAAGGTTTTGCTTTATTAAGTCCATCGACTATTAAAAGTTATAAAATGGTCCTTTAACTGTAGAGTGTTGTTTTCTTGAGTCATTCAACTATTAAAAGTTACAAAACGATCATCCAACTATCATTATGTTCCAAAAACTTGTTATTTTCTGTAAAAATTGATTACATTTTGAGCTGACAGTTAACATGTTGACTGTGATATGATAAAATTTGATCCATAATCTCAAGCGACTATCATATCTCAGTTATCATGTTAATGTCCAACTTAGACAACTGTCCATTTTTTAACGGAAAATGACGAGTTTGGAACATAATGAATAGTTGTGTTATAACTTTTAATAGTCAATAGACTTAACAAAGCAACATTCTATAGTCAGAGGACCATCTTATAACTTTCAATAGTCAGGAAACTTAATAAAATAATACCCTATAGTCGGGGGACCATTTGTGTATTTTACCCAAAATTATATCACATGTTAACATTTTTTTATAGAAAGTCGTTAGTTTTATTAAAAATAGAAAATATGCAAAATTACAATAAAGATTTACAAGTATAACTATAAACTTAAAATATAATTATGACATTTTCCTATTACTATTGAGACAAACTAGCTACCTATATCACATAAGGACTAAAGAAGAAAAATGTTAAAAAATATAACCAAAAACTCAAATTAAAATAAGATACGAACAAATGTGATTACATCGGTAAACAAATCACAATAGGGGATGAATCTACTGAAAGACCACCGACAAATCGTAAATCAAAGTCAAGCGACGTGAGAAAACTATCAACGAACGCAAAACGCGTATCTAAATCAATCTGAGAGTCATAAACAGGGAAGATCATCATGATAACAAATAAGCGTCATTTTAATCAGTCTGAGGATGTTAAATCAAACCCTGAGAAAAAAGATAACAAAAACAACGACAAAAAATCGTAAACTACCAAAAAATTAGAGAAAAACATGCACAATGAAATAGATAAACATGTCATAAATGTAGAGAAAATGTCACAAAAATATAATTATTCTTATTAAAAAAATTAAAAAAAAAGATAATCGGCTGGCGGTAACCAACATTAAAACAAATGCTGCCGTCGGTTAAACAAAATTAAAGAAGAAAAATTAAATTGATTAATAAAATTGATACAAATTATAAAAAGAAGAAGAAAAAAAGGAGGATGAATAAAACGGCTAGAGTTTTTTACTCAACTATAATTATCACATGTTAACACAAAATTATATTATAGGTTAATAATGATATCATCGTCTGTTTTTTAAGAGATTTTTTTATTAAATTAAGCTAATTATATTCATTTAATCAGTATGTAAGTTGGTTCGTATTTTTTAAGAGAAAACTTTAAAATCAGAGTCATAAATATATATAAAATAGCAATAAAAACATTTTTTAAAAATTAGTAGACTGGTCATATTGATTTTTTAATGGATTATTTTAGTTGTACTCATTTTTTTTATTTAAACCATCAATATAGTCTTCATTTTATTATGAGATGAAATTTTATTTTTTAGTATAAAATTACGATACTCACACTTTTTTTTGTTGATTTTCCCTCTTCATTTTTATACTCAATTTGAGTAGAGAATTTCTTTTATAAAATTATTTATATTTACTATTGAAACAAGCTTTTCAATTGGTGCAATATTATTGATGACTTTTATTTATTATAATAATATTTTATTATGAAACGTAAAACTTTAAACTAAGATTCGTATTTTAGATATTTAAGATGAAAAATAAAATTTTAGGAATTTTAAGCCATCAATTATAAGATTTCTAATTTTCTTCTTTATTTTAATTTTATAAAAAAAATATATCACGATGACATTATCATTGACATTATTTTATATTATTATATCACCAATAACTATGAAAAATATTAAAATAAGAAATAAAATTATAATTCTTTAGTAATATACCAAATATATTTTTAAACCTAAATGATTTATGGAATAGGCTCTAGACATGTTACAGGTACCTTGTACATAGAAAGACGACAAACATTACTCGTATATATCGGAATTGGAATATATATATATATATATAAGTTTGTTTTCCTGGGACACTTGGAATTTCTTTCTTCCACAAAAAGCCAAGTGTGGGAGTGCTCTCCAATCCACTACCATTGACAAATTTCAAAGGCCAATCATTACAAGGGGGAATGATCAAAGTGTATTGTCCAATTGACAATTTCAAGTTAAGAAGTGTCGAGTTCACAATCATGGGGTTTCTCCTTATGTGGCACATTTTGATGTATTGCTTGACTTTTTTTTGGGGGTGAAACACACATCATCTTAAAATGTGTTTAGCGTCAGCATATAATTGCTTCAGATCATTACAAAACTCTGGGGTCCAAAATAAGGCAACGCACAATCACGTTGACGACGAAGTCATGAGTGTCGTACGGGGTACTTGAGAATGTGGATTAGTTTTGCGTTTTAACGATAGAGGAAATTTTTTTTGTTTTCTTTTGCTTTAACGCAATAAATATTTAGAAAATGTTTAGTTCATCGAATATCAAATTATTTTTGACAATAGGATTATGTAGATATAATATTATTTGAAATATTTTAGAAATGTTTAATTCAACAATTATATGTGGACACTAAATAGGGATGAAAGAAGGATACAATGGATTTCTTAACGCACCCGCTCCGATTAGGGTGGAAATGGATATAAGTTTGATGGGTAGTGGGTGGGTGTGAATGTAAAAAGTCATACTTGTCGTGGGTATCGGGTAGGTAATGGATTCAAAACCTTAACCGCTTGGCATCCTCCGTTCCACTAATTACCTACAATATAAATTTTGGACCATTATGAATTTATGTATGATTTCAGAGACTATTCTATAAATCTTTAGATTTTACAAGACATTACTTATAATTTAACCAAATATTATAGTATAAACTCAATTAATTCTTGATTTATTTTATTATGTTTATTAATGATTGTAGTTATATATTTTGTTGTTTACGTAAATTGTGAGGTTACTACCAACGAGTATTAACGAATATAGACAAATACAAAATGAATGATTGGTATCTAGTTAGATAATAAATTTGAGAATCTACTACCGTGATGATACAGAGGTATCTACACCCGCCCGTTTACTATCCCTAACGCTAAACATAAGAACGGTCTCCGTCAAGATTGACCGTAATTTATGCGTCAAAGTGAAATACAAGACTCGGTTTGTTGCTTTATTGACCGGGTTTCGATGTTTTAATTGAGAATGGAAGCAACACGAAATGGAATGTCTAATCATTTGGGGTCACGTAAATTTGACGTTGCCCAGATGTGAATTAGTAGACTGTAGACGAAGCATTAAACCAACCCAGTTACGCCAAAGCTTTGAGTCCAAAAAGATCCAAACGTCTTAATTTTGAGGTCGTAGCAATTACTAGCCAAGGATATGGTGCGAAAAATAATTAATGCCAAATGTGTTTTCACAAAGGTTATGACCAACATATGGAAAATACGAGACCAAACATAATTGCTTGGAAATTCAACGCAAATAATGCGAAGCAACTGGAAACCGCGTCAATAGATAATATATATAATTTTTTAGTATGGTAATTCAGACCGATGCGGGTAACCCGATTCGATC